TTGGGGACTGGAGCATCTCTGGGAGCAGGGAAGGCTGAGGGAGCTGGGGCTGAGAGACATCCCAAGTGTGTGTCAGACACTCCCAGGGTGTGTCAGACACTCCCAGGGTGTGTCAGACACTGCCCATGTGTGTCAGACACTGCCCACGTGTGTCAGACACTCCTCATGTGTGTCAGACACTCCCAGGGTGTGTCAGAGGCTGCAGGGAGGGGGCAGAGGATGGCCCAGGCTCTGCTGGGGGGGGCCCAGCAATGGCACAAGAGCCACGGGCAGGAACTGATGCCCAGGAAGCTCCACCTGGACAGGAGGAAGAACTTCTTTGCTGTGCAGTGACCCAGCACTGAGCAGAGACCAGAGAGGGGTGGAGTCTCCTCACTGGGAATATCCCAGAGCCAACTGGACACAATCCATGTGCTCTGGGATGGCCCTGGTGGGGAAGGGAGGTGGGACTGGATGGGACACTGTGGTCCCTTCCAGGGTGTCCCATGCTGTGATCCTGGGTGCCAGTCTCTTCTCCCAGGCCACCAGCAGCAGGACAAGAAGGCTCGGTCTTAGGCTGTGCCAGGGGAGGTTTAGGTTGGGTATCAGGAAGAAATTTTTCCAGAGAGAGTGCTGGAATGGGCTGCCCAGGGAGGGGGTGGAGTCACCATCCCTGGGGGTTTCTAAGAACAGACTGGATGTGGCATCAGTGCCAGGGTCTGGTAACCACAGCAAGGTTGGATCAAGGCTTGGACTCCATGACCTCGGAGCTCTTTTCCAGCCTGGTGATTGTGGGATTGTGGGAAGCTGTGGGAGGCGGGGGTGGCTCATCCTGCCTCGTGCTGCTGCTTCCACGCTCATCCCTCTCTCCCTGTCCCCCCAGCCGTGCTCTGGAAGCGGGCAGCCCCCCTGGGGCCGATGCCCAACGAGGACATCGACGTCAGTAACCTGGACACCCTGGAGAAGTACCGGAGCTTCACCCCCTACTTCCGGCTGGCGGAGAAGGAGAGCAGGAAGCCCCGGTGGTGGAAGACGTACCATCAGCACACCAACCCCCCCGGAGGTACCCTGGGAGGGGCTGCTGGAGGGCTGGGAAGATGCTCTGGGGGACACTGGGCCCCAGATCTGCCCTGTGAGGAGCTCCGGGACAAGGCCAGCCCTTGCATGGTCTCCAGGGAAAAGGGTGGTGGTTTTCCAGGAGGGAGGCAGGCCAGGACCTGCCAAAAGTCACAGAGCAAAGAAGTGATTCCCTGGAGCCTCAGCAGTGCCACAGAGAGCAGAGCAGGACCCAGAGCTGCAGGCCTGCAGCAGATAGCACTGAGCTGCTCCCAGTCCCAAAGCTGGGAATGGGAGGGTGATGAGCTGGGGAAGGAGGAGGAGGGGCCTGGAGGTGCAGAATCGAGTCCTGATCATCCTTTTGAGTCTTTTCTAGTGAAAGGCGTCCCTGCCCATGGCAGGGTTTGGAACTCTGTGGTCTCTAAGGTCCCTCCCAACCCAAACCATTCTGTGATTCCACGATCCCCATATCTGGAAGTTTGTGCCTCTTTCCCGCGCTCTCAGACATTTCACAGGGCGTTGTGTTCGGGTGTTTTGGGTGCTCACACGTTTCACCTGCGTGATCTTTTCACCCCTGCCTGAAGAGCCACCGACAGACATCAGCCTGCCACCCAAGAAGGTGTCACGGGCCAAGCAGGTCAGGGAGAGGAAGGCGATCCTGAGGGGGAACCGCCGGAGCGCCGAGATGGAGAGAGCAGCGCGGCTCCAGACAGGTCAGTGCCCCACCACCCCGTCCCTGCCCCGGCTGCCCCAGGGCCCAGCTGTGCCTCTGCAGCCCTCCTGTCTCCCTGCAGTGCTCATTCCCCTCGAGGAGGTGAGGGCAGAGTGGGAGAGGACCAGCGGCCCCTTCCACAAGCAGCGCGTGGCCGAGCACTGCGGGGTGTTCAGGGACCTCTTCAAGGGGGCCACCTTCACCCCATGGGTGGCCCTGAGGGTGCACTACAACCAAGAGGACGAGTACCTCGTGCCAGTCTACTATGGGAACATGGTGACTCCGTCAGAGGTGCGTGAGGGGACTGGGAACAGCCTGGACCCCGTAGGAAGCCTGTTCCTGTCTGTCTGTTTGTGTCAAATGCTTCCAGTGTTCCTCTTACTGGAGCATTTCCTCTGTGCTGAAGGAAATGCATTTGTTGGACCTGATAAGGACAGGTATTTGCAGCAGGATGGTTGTCTATTGGCAGGCCCCTGCAGCCACAATTAATGCTCTGGGGGCAATCCAGGTGGAGCTGGATTCCAGTGGCCTGGCTGTGCCCAGCATTTGCTGTGTTCCAGCCTTGCCTGTGACAAATTCATGGAACCTGTTGTTTTACTGATTTACCTTCTCTTCATGTTGCCCTTTTAGGCTTCTAGTCCCCCTGCAGTGTCATATGAGGCAGATAAAGGCTCCCTTTGGACTTTGTTGCTCACAAATCCAGGTGAGCGGTGAGTTCTTTAAAAAGAACACATTTAAACTGGGTTGTTTCACTCTGCATTTTGGTTAACTCCTGTTTCTTTTGGCTGCACAGCCAGAGGTGATGTGATATCTGCCAGGTAGGGACATGTGTAATATGCAGCAAAGATTGTAGCCTCCCCAGCTCTGTAGCAGCTGAGAGAGAGAACAGTGACACAGCAGGACCTGTGTCACACCAACAATTCCCTGACTCCCACCCCCAAGCTCCTCTCCCTTGGCACTCTGCCTGGAGGGCAGGTTTGCTGACACTTCACCCTGAGAAACCAAGGCACAGTGAAGGGGAGCAGCTGACCAGCAGGATTCCAAGAATCTTGGAATTAGATCTGCAGAGCTCTTTGCTCCTCATTTTAAACTCAATCCTGTAGGAATGAGCTCCTTTTGTGATAGGAAAGGAATGCTGGGAGCTCTCGAGCTGCTCCCTCTGATCAAAGCAGGTCTGAGCAGTCTCATTTGGGATCGATGCAAACACCAAGTCACCTTTCTCTGTTGTGTGTTGGCAGATGGACATCTGAGGGATGCAGACTCGGAGTACCTGCACTGGCTGGTGTGAGTATAACAGAGCCACGTGCCCTGTGCTCAGGGAGCAGGCAGGAACTCCCCCAGCATCTCGGGCATCCACGGCTTTCCCTCGTGCCCCTGCCATGAGCTCCTGTAGCCTCCTGTTCTGGGTCCTGCTGAAGGTGCAGGAGTTCCAGGTGTTGCTGCTGTTTGGCATTCCAGTCACTGGATGGCATTTTTCCTCCAGTGAAAGCAGCCTCTGCTATCTGTTCCCTCATGGGGCAGAAGTCACCTCAAAACGTGGCAGAGTGATTGGCAACCCTGGGTGAATCGGCTGGAGGGAAACGAATGGATACACAGCCAAGTAAGTGTCTTTGTGTTCAGGACCAACATCCCAGGCAATGACATCAAGTCAGGAAAGGAGATCTGCCACTACCTGCCCCCCTTCCCTGCCATGGGGACTGGCTACCATCGCTTCATCTTCCTCCTCTTCAAGCAAGACCGTCCCATCGACTTCCGCGAGGACACTCGGCCGACGCCGTGGTAATTCTGCTGTTACTGCTTGCCGTGTTCACCCGCCTGTCACTGCGGTAGGGGGGCAGTTCCTTTCACTGCACAGGGTTCTCCAGGGCTGCTGTGGGTTTGTGTGTCCCCTGCAGCCACAATCCCAGCCCTGCAGAGTCCTGTTGCTACGGAACAGGCTGCTATGACAGTGGTTTGCCCAGCCTGGGGCAGAAACATGCACAGAGCTGGAGACACTGGGAGATTTCCTTTTTGCTGGCTCCCTTTTCCCTCTGTTTCATAGGCTCTGGGGTGATGTGGAGCAGTCGCCTCCCAGGGTGCTGCTGCAGGGAGAGGTTCAGCTCAGCCCTTGTGCTCGTGTCTTGTTTCCAGCTACAGCCTCAAGATGAGAACCTTCAGCACGTTTGACTTCTACAGAAAGCACGAGGATGCCATGACCCCGGCAGGGCTGGCCTTCTTCCAGTGCCAGTGGGACAGCTCCGTCACTTCCATCTTCCATCAGCTGCTCAGTAAGGAATGCAGTGTGTGGGGATGCTGGAGGGGGTGGGTGGGACATGGTCCAGTGTGGCTGCAGGCTCTCATTCCGTCCTGGGATGTGTCTGGGATCGGCACAGACAGGGCCCTCCCTGAGCCACCCTCCTCCAAACGGCAGCCTGAGGGAACAGCCTCCAAAAGGCTGCTTGGAACGAGCAGCCCAGTGCCCATGGGGGTGAAAGGGGGCCTGGGCTGGGATCTGAGCCCTCGTGCTGAGGTTGGTGGGTCCCTCCTTTGCAGACATGAGGGAGCCGGTGTTCGAGTTCGTGCGCCCGCCCGTGTACCACCCTCGCCAGCTGAAGTTCCCGCGCCAGCAGCCCCTCAGGTACCTGGACAGGTACCGGGACACAGAGGAGCCCACCTACGGCATTTACTAGGAGCTGGTCCCCTCCCATCCACTGGGATGCTGCCTCCCAGCTCTCCTGCACTCCCTCAGCACCTCTGGAGGGAGATGACAAAGTCTCAGCCCCTCAGCTCCCAGTTCCCCTGGGAAAGGCAGCCACGGGCAGCTCACAGTGCTGGAGGTGCGTGGTTCAGAGGCTGCTTAACGAGGACATTCGAAGTGAATCCAGGCTGAAATCGTGCTCCTGATTCTGCAGCAGAGCTGATCAGTGGCTGGCAGGGTAGAGTGCCCCCAGAGATGCCTTGCCTTGCTTCTCTGCAAGGATCTTTTGCCTGTTTAGGGAACAAACAGAGCCAGGCCAGCCTGGATTTCCTCCTCGTACAGCACTGCGGTTCAGGGCTGTGTCAGCCTTTATTTGTGCAGTCCTCTTGGAGAGATGAGCCTGATTAAACACACTCTGAGAAGTGTTGGCAGAGCTGTCTTTATTGGGAAGAGCCTGTTATCCCAGCCATGCTCTCCATATTCAATCCCCAAAATACCAATGTGCTCCTGAGCTGCCTGTTCCTAGTGCTGCTTTGCAGTGACTTTCTCTGCAGGTCCCCCTTTCCTCAGGAAGTGAGAGCCTCAAGCAAACACCTGAGACTGTGCTGAAGTGTCCCCCTACTGCTGGTACTCTGGGTTGTTACAGCTTCTCTGGAGCTCCCTCAACTCCCCTCCCACTCTGAAGGATTCTGGGGTCTGATTCAAGCCGGGGTGAGGGTGCTGGAGGGGTGCCCACAGGTTGTGTTATGCCCTTCTCTGAGCTTTGAACATTTGGTCAGAATTTGTAGATCCAGCCAAAAGAAATATCTTGGAGGATGAAGCTCTGCTGGAACATGCAGGGAGTTGTGACAAGTCCCTAGGGTGGTCTGGGAGGTGGCTCTGAGCCTGCCTGTGGTACAGAAGCTGCTCCAACAATCAGAATCCACTGGTGAGTGCCCTGGCTGCACCACAGACCTGCTCCCTGCTTCCCCTCACCTGTGCAGGGCAAAGTGAAGCTGTTCATGAGGGGAGGCTGCAGAGCTGCTGCCACCTGAGGCCATCCTGCAGTGTCAGCAGCCTGGGAGTGTGTGCAAGGGGTAGCAGAGCAGCGGGGTACAGAGATAAGGGTTGGGTGGGGATTTTGGGTGGTGCTCCTCCTGAAACTGAACTACAGGACTACAAGGTGAAGGTGTGCATTGCACACACACTGTTCTTCACACAGAAGACTCCACCTGCCCCCTGAGCAGGGACCGATGGCCCAGGTGACGTCTTTGTTGTGTTTCAGGGTGCCGATGTGCACGGGTGTTGGAAGGAAGTTCGTAGGAAAAGGTGTGGTGGGTGTGCACGGGGGCATGTGCAAACAGCAGGAGCTGGAGTTCAAAACGGAACGTTGCAAGGGTGGAATGTGGCCCTGGCTGGTGCTGGTGTGTGTCACAGCCGTGTCACACACGCTGCAGAGGGGGTGACGCGTGGATGCAGCAGCGGTGGGTGCCTCTGCTGGTTCTCACTGTACCGAGCTCTCTGTGCCAGCGGGAGCTGCCGTGCTCTGCTCGGGGACCCAGCCCTGGCAGAGGTGAGGATGCCTGGGAGTTCCCTGAAAGGGCAGTAAAGGAAAGAAATCCAAGTGCACATCGATGTGTACCTGTGTAAGCACATTCACGGGGGTACACATCGCTCTGATCCTTGTCAGCCTCCCCCGTGTGTCCCTGCGCTGCCACTGCAGCGTTCCATCCTCTCCGGAGCCTCCCGCTCTGCTTCACAGCCCTCCCTCTCCCCGAGGGGAGCAGCTCCAACCCTCCCAGTCCCCTCGTCTCCCCAGCGTGTGGCACACTCAGCGTGGCCAGCGGGCACCCACGGGGTGTCTCTTTAAGAGCACGTCTGGCTGGGAGTCCTGACCCGCCTCTGGGCACAGCGTCACCATCTCCTCCTCCCCTGCACAGCTGAGTTTCTATTTCCCCGGCTCCTCGCCCCGCTCCCCGGCGCAGGCAGGATGGCATCCCCCGTCTCGCAGAAGCTGGAGGAGAAGCTGGTGTGCTCCATCTGCCTGGACCTGTTCAGGGTGCCCGTGACTTTGCCCTGCGGCCACAACTTCTGCAAGCGCTGCATCAGCGACCACTGGCACAAGCGAGAGCGGGCGCCCGCCGGGGCCGAGGCGGGCTATAAGTGCCCCGAGTGCCGCAGGGACTTCGAGCAGTGCCCGGAGCTGGAGAAGAACGTCACCCTGTACAGCGTGGTGGAGCTGGCGAGGGACGGGGACGCGCGGGGCGCGGGCGCGGGGAGGTGCGAGGTGGCCCCGGGCGAGCTGTGCCCGCAGCACGGGCGCCCGCTGGAGCTGTACTGCGAGGACGAGCGGCGCTGCATCTGCTGCGTCTGCATCGTCCGGCAGTGCCAGCGGCACCGGCGGGTGCTCTTCGAGGAGGAACGGTCCAAAAAGCAGGTGGGGACTATTGGTGGCAGGGATGGGGCGATGGGAGAGCGAGCAAGGGGAGTCACAGCAGCTCGGACATTCGCCTCCACTGTCCTGTGCCCTGCGGGGGGGATGTGATGTGACTCCGGGTGCCAGGCTGTGCCCGGCCTCAGCTGAACAGGGGGCTGGCCAGGAGGTGCCGCCAGTGCCCTGCTGCTCCCTGAGAAACCAGGTGCTGTCAGGAGCAGCAGCGAGATGGGTAAATCCAGGAGCACTGGAGGATGAACGGTGATATACGTGTTTGTGACCCTCTGATCCAGAGAAAATAGATAAAAAAGGGGTGAAAGCACAGAAAAATCACTTCTTTGTGACCCTGATGCAGTGTCCCTTTCCCAAGGCTTCTCCCTCCCCGCTAGCCTTGTCCTGGCAGCCCTGAGAGGGCTCCTGGGGCCAGGTGGGCAGCAGTGCTGCACTGCAGGATGTGCAGCTGGACACGACGAAGAAAGGACAGGACGTGGCACTTCGTGCTGTGGATTAGTTGGTGGTGTTCGGCCAAAGGTTGGACGTGATGATCTTGGGGGTCTTTTGGTTCTATGTTGATGCCTCTCTTCACAGACCCTTTTGAAAGAGTCCCTGGAAAAAGCCCAGGAGGAATCGGAGGGGATCGAGCGGGCGATGCGGGAGCTGGAGGAGCAAACGCGCAGCATCAAGGTAGTGCTGTGGCCACCCCTGTGCTGGGCACGTGGGTGTGAGCACAGTGGCTCTCACGGCTCTTCCCTACCCAGGACTTCTCTGAGGAGCTCAAGTCTGGGATCCAGAGCAAATTCGCCCACCTGAAGAAAGCTCTGGAGGATTTCCAGTGTCAGTCGGTGGCCAGGATCGAGGAAGAGCAGGGGGTGGCTCTGGGGCGCTTGGAGGAGAACTGGAGCCTCCTGAAGGACAGGCTGGATGTCCTTGGCCAGCACAGGGAGAGGGCTCAGAGCCTGCTGGCCTGCCCTGACCACAGGACCTTCCTCCAGGTACCATCCTGATGCTGTGACACCCTGTGCCTGGGCACTGCTGGCCCTGCACCCTTTCAGTGAGGGCAGAGATGTGTTCAGCCCCTTTCCTGGGGGAAACATCCTCAGCCCAGCTCAGGGATGTGATGGGGCTGTGGGGAAGAGCTGTTTTAGGGGGATTTGCGTGGGCAGTGCTGGGATCCCCCTGTCGCCCCTGGGGAGTCCCAGTGTGTGCACTGGAGTCACACAGTCTTCCCCAGGCTGGTGCACGGCTCTCTGTGTGTCCATCCACAGGAGTTCTCCCTGCTCCCACCTCTGGAGAGCCCAGAGGCGCCGGTCCCAGTGGAGTTTGATGTGGCTCATGTGATCAACCCCATCTCTGAGATCCTCACCGACATCTCCAGGCTCCTGCTGGAGGACCTGCCCGGCTCTGTGGCCCCCAAAGCCCCCAGTCCTGCTGGCCAAGGTAATCCTTCTGCTCTCCTGAATCCCAGCCTGGCCCACATCACTGTGTCAGGCACAGAGGGTTGGGCTGGGACACACATCTCCTGTTCAGCAGATGGGGTGGGATGAACTGGGTGGCTTCCCCGTGGCCTCTCTTTGCTGGGAATGCTGAACCAAGTGGGCACATGCCTGCTCCCAGGCTTGGATATGATGGACTTCCTCTTCCTCCCCTCACTCCTATGCACCCAAGAAGAAACAAGTTTCTAGGTGCCATCACTCAGAATGCCTGTTCCCATCCTCCACAGGCCCAGTGCATCCCCAGGAGCCAGCAGTGAAGGTCGTGACCCCTCTCCCCAAGTGCCAGCTCCGAGCTGAGCTTCTGAAGGGTGAGGAGCACAGGAAGGCCTGGAGGGAAAGGGGGGACCCAGTTGGGGTCCCCAGCAGGCAGAGATGTCACCAAGCTGGGCTCCTCCCTGGGAAGGGGATGGTTGTGGCTGCGGGGACAGGGGTTCCTTCCATGGTTCTGCCAACCTCTCTCCCTAAGTGTGGGACAGGGTGGATGGGCTGGGGGACATTGTGTGGGTGAGAAAGGGCTCATTAGGGGGATTAGCAGCACCAGGGAGTGCTTTCCCATGGGAACTGGAGCTGCCTGGTATTGGATCAGTCACTGCCCTGCACAGCACAGCCCTGGTCCAGTGCCCTACCTGCAGTCATTGCTCTGTATACAGGGATATGGTCTCAGCATTCCCTGTCCTTCATGTCCCCTTCCCTCCCTGGGCCCATCCCGCTCCAGTTCCTTAGGGATTTCCTCACTGCTCGTTTTCCCATCTCCTCCCTGTTGGGAAGAGGGTTGGGCAAAGTTTAGGGCATGTTGATCATGTCACTCTTGCCAGTGAAGCAATCACTGCCTAAGGGACCTTTAATTCCTTCCATTAGTCCCACAAAAAACATTCTTAGGGTTATTAATAGGAAACCCCCGTTATTTATGGGCAGCAGTCAGGAGCCCAGTTTGCTCTGGGCCAGGTTGTAGTGGGAGGAAGGTGATGTGCTGGTGAGCAGGAGTTACAACAGCCCATGCACAGGAGAGTAACTCCCTGCAATACCATATTTACTTGCCTGGTGTTCTCTCCCTCCCTCCCCACCCACGCTCATATTTTTTGCTCATAAAACCAAGATCTGTTCCGAAATGGCCATGGAGCCACTGGTATGTGCTGGCTGTGAGCTGGGCTGTGCAAGGAGTGCGTGAAGCATCGTGTCTGGCTGCCTTGCCAGCTGTTTCTGGGCTGCTCCTGTCCCTTCCAGGGCAGGTATCTCATCTCAACTCGCTCACCCTCCCCTCCAGACGAAATTGTTCCCTTCTGTTTCTGTGAGCCAGCCCTACACAGTCTAAACCCCATCACTGCTGGGGGTGGGTGATCACACCATGGGCAGAAAGATCTGATGAAGCTTTTCAGCTTTTCATGCCCTTGCTCTTCCCAGACCACCGCAACCTGACCTTCGATCCCGAGACGGCCAACAAGTACCTGGAGCTGTCGAGAGGTGCCCGGAGAGCCAAGCACGGCCCCAGTGCTGTGTGCAGGGGGCAGGGGCCCCGCTTCGAGCCCTGGCAGGTGCTGTGCACGCAGGGCTACGGCCCCGGACACCACTACTGGGAGGTGAAGATCTCCAGCCACTCCGTCATCCTGGGCGTGACCTACCGGGGCCTCCCCCGGGAGCAGCAGCAGGGCCACAAGTTCAACATCGGGCTGGACGGGGGCTCGTGGGGGCTGCAGGTGCGGGAGGATTGTTACCTGGCCTGGCACAAGGGCCAGGCCGAGAAAATCCGGGAGCAGCTGTACAAGAACCTGGGGGTCAGCCTGGATTACGGCAAGGGGCTCCTCTCCTTCTACGGCCTCGGGGAGAGGATGCAGCTCATCCACTCCTTCCACGATGTCTTCACGGAGCCCCTGTACCCCGTGTTCTGGCTGTGTGAGGGGCGAGTGGTGACGCTGTGCCAGAGGGACTGAGCTGGAGCCGCCACGCTGATCCATCAGCCGGGCTGGTGCCGTAGCCAACCTGCAGCCAGGACCTGTCACAGTGCAGGAGGGACCTCGATGCCGAGGCAGGCATGTGGTGCAGTATTTTAAAGAAGAGATGATGAGGGCAGACATGAAAATTGACTGGTTTAATTTGCATATGCAAATATCAGTCTGCTGATGGAGGGAAGGGGGAGGAGGCAGGGCTGGAGCTCACCCTGGGCACTCTGTGTGGGGGCACATGTGGGTGCCATCCCTGCAGATGGAGTGAGGGAGGGGGAAACAAGGAGCGAAAGAATTAAAGTTTTCCTCTTTCTCCTATCCCTTCCAAACCTCCCAAGCCTGGAGAAGATTTGGGGTGAGGGAGAGCATACAAGGGGTGCTGCTGCCACAGGGTGCTGTGGAGCAATGCAGAGGGAGCCCTGTGCTCCCCCAGCCTCACATGCAGGCAGGTCCTGCTCCCCCAACCCCTTCCCAGTCCCCTCTTGCCACTCTTGGACTTGACAGAGCAACTTTTCAGGGTTCTAGGCTGCAGCTCTTTGTAGGATGCTGCTTTTCCCAATAAAGCTCTATTTTCCTACTGCTTTGACCTTGGTGCTGGTGGGAGATACGGGACCAAGCAGCACAGGGGGAAGAGGAAGGGAGCTGGGTGCCTCTGTTCCTGCACCCATCCCTGCAGGGCCCCATCCTGCCCCTCCATGTCCTCAAGGGGTTGGTGACTGGCCCTTTGGAGGGACCAGCTGCCAGCAGAAAGGTCTTTTGTTTACCAGAGCACTGTGATAAGGAAACCTGGTTTCCTATGGCTCTGCCCCAAGCCTGATCTGGCACAGAAGAAAATCTGAAGTTTTGATTGAAGCTTTTCCAAGGGCTAGACCACAGGTCTCCTCCTGCTCCTGTGGGAATGCTGGTGAGGGATAACGGGGTGAAACTGGGCACTGGGATCAAAGGTGCTGGGGAATTCACCTTGCAGGTGAATGCAAGGGAAATGAATAACATCATTGTTTCCTTTGGGGACAAAAGGCTTGAAAGGATCAAACCCCTTCTGCAAGAACAGATGTGATTATTCTTGCCGTGTTTCCTCCTTCACTCCACACCTCCCCACCCCTCCCAGGCCTGTCCTTGGGCCAGCGTGGACCTGGGAACTTATCCAAGTCAAAAAATGGTCTGCACAGGAGGGGTCTGGAGACACCATGCTTATGAGGCAGATCCTCACACCAAAAGCACTTTGGTGTCTCCCCATCCCCACCCCTGCTTGGTGCCTTATGGGTCCTGGAAGAAGAGGGGACAGGGACTGAGCCAGCTCCTTTTTCCATGGGAATGGCTGACGTGGGCCCATGGGCATGGGGCTGGCAGGAAAACACCTGCACTTATGCACTGGGGGGGCCCCAGGACCTTCCATGTGGCCTCAAGGCAGGGAGCAGCTCCTGGGGAGCAGTGGGATGGCAGCAGGTCCTGGGGGGAAGGAGATACTCACAGGGGACAGCACGGGGTGGGTTTGGAATGGGCTGGCTACAGCTTCCTGGGATGGGAGATTTGGGGAGGGGCAGCAGCTTCCCCTGGGAGCAGCAGAACCCTGAGAAGAGTCCCGATTCCAGTGGGGCAGATCCTTTCGGAGGTGGCAGACCCTGGTTGGGGAACAATATATCCTTATAGGGGTGGCATCCCCCGAGGGCTGGGGGCAGATTTCCCTGAAGGCAGCAGATGCCGGGGGGGAGGAACCAGATGCCCGGTGGTTGCAGATCCCAGGGGTGAGAACTCCCCGAGAAGGCGTGTGCCTGGGCACCAGGTGCAGGGGGTGATGACGCGGGTCAGCCCTCCGGCTGCGGGCGCGGGGAGGCGGAGCGGGCGGGCGGGGCGCGGCAGCCGCCCGCCCCCGTCGGGGCTGGGACCGGGGCCGGGGCCGCTCGGGGCGCTCAGGGATGGATGCTGCGCCCGGGAGCGCCCCGCCGTCCTCCGCCGCGGCGCTGCGGCTGGCGCTGGCGGCTCCGGGGCTGCCCGAGGGTCCCCTCGGCTGCCCCATCTGCCTGGACGTGCTGCGGGACCCGGTGACGGTGCCGTGCGGGCACAACTTCTGCCAGGGCTGCCTGCGGGCGTTGCGCCAGCAGCCGGGCCCCCCCGACGGCGGCGGGGCGGGCGGGGCCGTCCGCTGCCCGCTCTGCCAGGAGCCCGTCCCCGCGTCCCTGCGGCTCCGCAAGAACCGCGCCCTCTGCGAGCTCCTGCCGCTGCTGGCGGCCGCCACCGGCGGCTCGTCCCCGCCGTCGCCGATGGCCCCGGGAGCCGAGGAGGAGGACGGCGCAGGGGAGGCGGGAGCGGCGGTGCTGTGCGATGTGTGCCCGCCGGAGTCGCGGGCGGCGGCGGCGCGGTCGTGCCTGGTGTGCCTGGCGTCGTTCTGCGGGGCGCACCTGGAGCCGCACCGCCGCGCCCCCGCCTTCCGCGCACACCGCCTCGTGGCCCCGCTGCGCCGGCTGGAGGAGGGGCTGTGCCCCCGCCACCTGCAGCCCCTCGACGGCTTCTGCCGCACCGAGCAGACCTGCGTGTGCGCCCGCTGCCGCGCCCACGAGCACCGCGCCCACGACGTGGTGCCCCTCGAGCAGGAGCGGGAGCACAAGGAGGTGCGTGCGGGTGGGCGGGGAGGGCGGCGGGGTGCGCGGGTGTCCCGGGTGGGGTGAGGCGCGGCGTCCCTTGGAGGGTTTCGTGCTGCACCCGTGTCCCCAGCGGGGAGCCTAAATCCGCACGTGGGGTGTGTGCAGGTGCCGCGCACACACGGTGGGATGGCGTGTGTGGGGTGGTGCTGTAGCCCACACCCCTCGGGGGACCCCACCCCGTATGGACAGGGTTCTGTGCTGTCGGGGAGCCCCGTGAGGTGGGGACGGGATGGGCAGATGGGGGCAGACCCGCTGCCTGCCGGCCCCTGGGGATTTTTCCCACTGTAGAAATCCCGTGGGTATAGGGCTGGGGTGGGGGTGCCTGGGACACCCTGCAGTGTCCGCCCCCGCGGTCACGGGTCTCCCGCCTTCCCCGTCTTGTTCCCACAGTTCGGTCGAGGCGGTTTTTCCCGACTCCTGGCAGCCTGCCCTGCCGCCGCTCCCGCTCCCCCAGCCCTTTGTATCCCGGCGTTTTGGCAGCGGGTTTTTTTCCATCACTCCCATTCCCAGATGTGACTGAGTCACCTCCTACATTCACACCCACGAGCCTCCCCGGGAGCCGGGGCTCCAAGCCCAACACGGTGCTGCCTTCCTGGACGCTGCTGCCTCAATGTGTGGGGCCTCTGTGGGGCTTCAGGCAGATGGGAGTCTGTGAGGCTTGCGGTGTGGTGACACCCTGCATCGGGATGAGGCATTTGGAGACCTTGGGAGGGTTTGGTTTTTCCAAGGAAGAGCCCAGGGGCTGCGGACACGCTGGCAGGGAGCACAGAAACAGCCCCAAGCCAGCTCCCGCTCTCTCGTGGGCTCTTGGGATTGCAGGAAAACCCTTTTGTCGGCATTATTAGTCATCAGGTGCCTTAAAATAGAAAGGGAGTGTGATCCCAGCCCGGAGGAGCTGTCAGATCCAGACCTCAGCAGACACAACTGCTTAACGTTGCCTGCACGGCTTCTGCCACTGCCCTCTGCCACTGCCCTTGTGCTGCAGGCTGGGAAGGATGGACAGGGAGAGCACCTGTATCCCCTCGCTGGGCACAAGGACTGCAGGGAGCAGGGCCAGGAAGCCAAGCATTAGCGGGAATCTGCCCTGGTTGGGGAGTGCAGTGCCCTCCTGGCTCCCCAGGGAGCTCGTGATGGGCAATGGCTGGGGCCAACAATAGCACGCCAGGAAACGACGTGTTGGGAAGGTGCTTCCTCTGCAGCCACGCAGCACCTCTGTGCTCCAGAGCTGGTTTGCTTTGCTCCTAAAGAGAAACCTCCAGGGGACTCTGTGCTGTGTTTCTGAGTGGTCCAGTTCTGCCTTTCAGCTTCTGTCCCAGTCCCAGGTGGATTTTCCCCAGCCTTGGGATGCACACTGAGAGCACACACGGCTTAGCTGCGCTTGCTGCAGTCACTGCCCCATGGGTTTGCTTTCAAATTCCTGTTTTGTTTGCTTTCCGCTGGGACCAGGGTGGGGAGCGTGGAACTGGACATGACCCTTTGCAGCCCGGCTGCTCCTTTAGTTTCCCAGCCCAGGGAGAAGGGATGTTTGCAGGTTGGATGTGGCAGGGAAGGAAAACAGGAAAACAACTCACGGCTCCCCCTGTGTCCTTCACCCGAAGCCTGACAGTGAGGTCGTGGTCAGAGAGGGTTGAACTTGGGGAGCAGCTGGGTGTCCTGCAGCTCCCTCTGGGATCGGGGGCAAAGCTCAGTGTTTGTCCCTTGTGTTTGCAGGCCCAACAAGCCAAATTCCTCAGCGATGTGGAGAATGAGCTGGAGGAGCTGGCAGTCACCATCGCACAGGCCAAGAAGATGGTGGAGCTCATTAAGGTGACTCTGCAATGTCTTTGCTCTGTTAGTGGAGCTCTGCTGGGCTGGGGAGCGGAGGGGAAGGGGCTTTTGGGGTGTGTGGGGTGTAGAGTTGGTGCCCACAGGGCAATGTGCTCCGTAAAACCACCTGGCAAGGATCCCTGAGGATTCTTGCTCCTCGTCTCTGCTAACCCTCACGGCATCTCTGGTTGCTTTCGTTTGCAACCTGGAAGAAGGAACAGGGCAAGGACCATGCCAGGGCATCCTCTGGCTCTTGCACCTTTTCTCCTTGGGCTCACAGGTCCCCCTTTGGCCCTTGTGCCACCATGTCACTTCACTGCCTGGGGACACCAGACGTGGTGCAGCAGGAGGTGGCTGTGCCCAGCCAGATCCCCTGATAGCTGAGCTGCGAAATGATCTCAGCTCTTGGATGAAGGGGGTGACGGGGTGTCAGGGGGACCCCAGAGAGCTGAGAGGTGGGTGCTGGGCAGGGGACAAGGGTGCCCTCCTGCACCTTCACTGTGGGACCTGACCTCTCTCTCACTGCACTCAGGGTGCTGCCACAAAGGAGAAGGAAAGGGTTGAGAAGCTCTTTGCAGAAGCCTCTGAGGTCCTGGCGACCTTCCAGAAGGAGGTCACGGGTTTCATTGAGGCCGGGGAGCGCTCCATGCTGGGGGAGGCCGAGGCTGATCTCCGCTGGAAGGAGGAGAGACGAGCCAAGCTGGCCCAGTGCAAGCAAAACCTGGAGAACGTCGCCAGCACTGACACCATCTACTTCCTCCAGGTGGGATGGGGCAAGAAGGACCCAGTAGTATTGTCTTTTGGGGTTTTGTCCCATTCCCTGAGGAGCTGGGGGCCAGGAGCCCTGGGATGTGTGGGCTGTAGAGTCTCACCCCTGTTGGCACAGTTCCCTCCCCTCCCCACTCCCAGGAGGAACAGGCAGCCAAGACTTTCTCCCCCCTTGTGTCTGTGACTCAGGGGAAGCTGATGTGCTGCCCAGGCTGGGTACCTGGGTGTGAGGGGCAGAGAACAAGAGATTGGGGTGCCCCACTGCTCCCCTCTAGCATTTCCCTCTCCCTGACAGCCCAGCAAGAGGAGACCTTTTCAGGAGGAGATGCTACTCTGTGTGAGGTGGGCATGGTCTGGGGGCAGGTTTGAAAGGGAGCTAAGAGCAGGTTCCAGGAACACGTGGCCGGGAAAGAGCTCTCCTCCCTTGTGAAGGCTGTCCTTGGGCCAAGTCCTGAGAGCTGCCAGTTCCCAAATCCTCCAGGGCTGGGTGGGGTCACGGAACAAGAGACAACTTTGGCTTGTTTGAAAACTCCTGAAACTCTGTCTTTTTTGGCTCAGGAATTTCAGGCCTTAAAAGTAGCCATGGAAGAAAACCTCTCCCCTGCTCCAAGCTTCCAGAACGAGCTGAACTTCACCAAGTGTACCCAAGTTGTGGGTGCAGTGAAGGATGTGCTGTCCACTGCCTGCAAAAACCAGTGGAACCACTTGCAGGGGAAAGGAATTGACGGGCTGAACTACCAGGAGATGGAGGAAGGTTTGTGCTCAGCCAGTCC